TTCGCAGAGAAAGATATTCCACAAATAAATTTTCAAGTATTATTTTCTTACGGGAAAACTGTTCCTCTTCTTGAGAGGAACAGTGAATACAAGATGCACAAAATAATTGTTATATGTTTACATTATAATTATTACAAAACAAAACATATAGTTAACAGGATCGTGGTGGGCATTCACACATGAAAGAAGGCAGTCTCTATCAGTTTATGCAGTCAGACACAACAATTAGTTATCTGAATAGTTATAACTTCGAAATTTTGAAATGTGGGGCATCTAGCCCTGGTTTCCCTTACTTTCTTCTTCTCCGACCATTTTGCGAAAACCATCAAATCTCGTCCTTCTCGCACATTTCCGCCGCTTATCATGAAAAGCTGCTAGTGCTTATCATGATAAGTACAAGGTTCGTTTGTCGAGATTATCGGTTAATTGGCTGCTCGAAATCGCCGGCGGCCGGTGTTTGGAATTTTTGTGTATCGAAATTTCGTTACGCCTCCCCATCGCGTTTATCCACGATGAAACTTCGCAAACCGCATCCTCCTATCCCGCTTTTACCTGCGCAACCACCCTCCTACTCCGATAACGAGCTTATTATCAGGAGGATTTCGCAACGCTGCTTCAGTCTTCGTTAGACATCTTTCTTTCATTTACCGATTCTTCAAACCGAATTTTCAGAATGATCTGAATGACCCGTAATGCGCAATCGTGCGTGGAAGCGTGTGTTTAATCGTTTACGTAAAGTTTGCGACACTTTTTTGGGGGACCAGATTTATACAATTATATTTACACTTCTACTTATAAATTACTTTTGTATACTTCGTATTTAAAATTTTTATAATTCCTTCAAACCTTTTAGCGCACAAGCTTATGCACAAATATTGCAGTCTTGATAACTTCGCATGCTCGTAAACTCGTAAAAGAAAGTGTCGTAAACTTTATCTCAACACTTTTATGAGTATTCAAGTGGAAAACTCTCATCTAACTTTTAATTCAAATTTGAGATGATCTCACTTAAGGGGAGGTTCTGGTTTAGGTAGCCGAGAAATATATATTTTTTTAAATCTTTTTAAAAGAAATGAATAAAGACATTAATGCATAGAATTTGGCCCATATTTATTTATCATTGTTTTAAATATAAAAAATTATTTTTAAAAAAATCTTGATTCCGTCCAGATTTTATATGCTGAGTTCGTGTAATAATTGTATAATAATCTGAAACAAATGTGATCTAAAAATTTTTAAATTGTGTTAAATTTGGTGGAGAATGAACTTAAATCCTTCGGAAAATTTCTAAAATTGGATATTCTTGCAGAGTAAAAGTTTTTGCTTAGAATATGGGATTACAGGAAATAGCACTTTGTAACTAAAGTTATTTGTTTTGGATGTTAGAATACTTTCCTTTTGGTTTCAGAAGAATCCTCTTGAGGCCATACACAAGATAAATCAGTAACTATTACGATCTTGAATATCTTCGAAGCAAACGACAAGAGTGATCTTAAGATCTTCGAAGCTACTCCTAGAAAAAAGTGTAACCACCACAAAAAAATTTTTTTCTAAGTAAAATAGCTTTGAAAATCTGAAAATCGCTTATGTTTTTTTCTTCAAAGACACTCAGGGTGGCAATACAGTTATTGACTCACTTTATAATAAGATAATCTTATAATAAGATATCAATGTAAGAGGATAGTCAAGGATAAGATCTTTTTTTAGTTAGAAAAAGTATATTCAAATTGTCTCGCAAACGAATGTACCAGATATTATCGGAAAATAACACGCGTATACTTATTCTTTAGCATAAAACTTAATTCTTGGGAGACACCCTATTCCTAAGCAAAAGGGCAGGTGCTGCGAGAGATCGTGAGCGCCCCTAAAACTGCGTAATTAATAAATGACGCACGCCCCCGTACGTAATGAGCGCGAGTTAATTAGATCCAGCGCGCCACAAGTTTCGGAAGGTCCGAAGCAGTAATACGGATAATAGTATTGACACTTCGTCTAAATGGCCACCTCATTACAGCAAATCGGGGAATAATGTAGTTAAGAAACACACGCGGCTCAAAGAGCCAACTGCGACGGATCAACATTTCGTTCGCGCTTTATGCGCGACCGTGTCGCAACGATGATCCTAATTTGTCTGACGACTGGGTTTTCGTCTCCCAGATGAATGCTAAAATCCGTAATTGACCCCGTCTCGCTTCGCTTAATTCCCTCTCACCTCTCACACTTCTCACACAGGGAGAAAGAGAAAGCAAAACAAAGAGCATCAAGGCGTATCTTCGATCTCGCCTCTGGGTTTCTCTCTTATGAGCGCTCATTATTTTTATCATCGACTTATCTTTCGTCCCGCCGTCACATTTCAGCAGACGAAGGAACTGCTCTTTCGCCGCGACGGATACGGCCCGAGTCCCGTATTTCCCACGTTACGTTTTCGAGAACGTCGCCCATTCCTGCCTGACCAGCTCGCTAAAATTCCAATATCTTTCAATTAACTCCCCGCGATGCAGATGTCCGTTGATTATCCAGTGGGGAGATGATGATGAAAAAGTTGCGTTATTCAAAGTTGGATTTATTGTGATTAAGTGTAAATGAGAAAAACAAATGTATTTCGAACGAAGCGAAGGAAAATATATGGGGGCGAAGGCGGATGGACGGACGGACGGATGAACAAACAAAAGCGAGCAGAAGAAAAATCACGATGACGACAAAACGATATCAAAATAATAAAAATAACTACACGATTATTGACGTTTAGGGACGTCATTAAAACGTCATTAAATCGTCTTAAAATGTCGTCATCGGTTTATGACATTAGACCATCATTTTGACGATATTTTCATATTTTTAGTCATTCCTTGGTCATATTTGGTCATAAACTGATCAGATTTGATCACGTCGTTTATCACGAAAATATTCTACTACTGAGAAAAGCAATCACTCATTTTACTTTACTCCTTTTGAGTAATGTGATTATCTTCAACAAAGTATTTTCCGTTAATAATAATCTTAAAATACTATAAATTTTATCACAAAGAGTGTGGCCAAGTTTAGCCCCATTTTTTATAAGTTTGAAAATGGTCATAATTTTGGTTTTTTTTTAAAGCTTATTGCGAGTAGATTCCAAATATATAAGTATCAAGGTGGCGCTCCACATTGTTATGACATTACAAACGTTGGAAACAAACAAACAAATTCCTACAAAAAGCGGAACCATGCTTTCGCTAGAGTGATAATCGGATCCATATCAATGAGGCTTTATCAAATGTTCATGCTTATTTTATTATCAAGATCAAATGCGATTCGAGATATTATGTGGGCGCCAAAATTTTTGTTTTTTGTAAGGCACATGACGCCATCTCTCGGAAATGAAACTCTTTTGGACTATTTTTCTCCTGAAACGATACAGAGCGCCACCTTGATACTTATATATTTTGAATCTACTCGCAATAAGCTTTCAGAAAATACCAAATTATGACCATTTTCAAACTTACAAAAAATTGGGCTAAATGCCTGTGACGGTTTGGCCGCACTCTTTTAAGAAAATTCGATACACAACACGTATGCCTCAAAGACATCTTAAAGGCGTTCAAAAGACGTCTAAAAAAAGTTGGAAACGTCTCTTTAAGACGTCTTTTAAGACATACATATTGCGTAGATTATTATACTCAAAAGACGAATTTATTCTTTTTACAATAATAAAACTTTATCAAAGAAAAAATCAGTTCTATGTTGTATATAAGTAAACTAAACTTCTGTACTACTTTAATGTACTTGAATAAATAGCCAAAATTCAGAATGTATGTTGCACCAGTTTGATCCTTATGATGAGAGAGCTTATAATAGATTTGTGAATATATGTATAAACTTATGAAATACTTAGGACAAGTAACATTTATTTGAATGCGATATATATTTGAAAAAAATTCACTTCTCGATCACAATTTCATTATTTTCAGGTCATTTTGATGTCATCATGATTTTATGTTCTTGGTAAACTTTTCTGTTCTAAGCAACTTAATTAAAGTAATTTAAATTACAGCAAAATAATTAGCCCTTTGTACTCAGATTCTTAATTAAACATCTTAATTAGTAATTAATAACGAACGTCCGCATTTGCGTGTTTTTCAATGAGCAACTAAACGGATCCACAGCAACATCGCAGCAACAAGTCCATTGTCTACCTATTAATTATCCTGCTATTCTCACCGTTTCTCTATGACAGGACATTTTGCTGGCGTGTTCTTCGTTAATTACAGGTCAACACGTATGCAGAAGACATAGGATATTGCGAAGAGCGAATTCGAGTAGGTGGCGAGGCGTTCTCTATAAAATATACGGGTTGCGACCTCTATTGACAGAAGGTGCTAATGAAAGTGGCACGTTTATGCATTATAAAACGCGCGGATTACGTCGCGCTATGTGTGCCACGTTCTGATTTTGTGTTTGCAAAATCGTGACGTTAAACGTACAGGGCAGCGAGCGAATTATGCAAATGAAGAGCCAAGTCTAGGAATGTGGCTGCACCGTTTAAGACGGATCTTTCAATAATTAATTAACAACAGTTAATAGTAGTTTAACAATATATTTCAACAGAGTTTAAACTCAAATCTATGTTGTCAGACAGGAGAAAAAATCACAATGACGTCAAAATGATGTCAAAATAACTAGAAAATAACTAAACCCTTATAGAAATATCATACTAAGAATCATTGATAATTACTTATTATCCAGTATTTTTAATACTGAAAATAAGTAATTATCAATCTTAGTATGATATTTCTATAAGGGAAAAACTCACTTCTCAATCACGATTTATTCACTTTCTCGTTATTTTAACGTCACATCGTGATTTTCTGTTCTACTTGGATTCAAACTATTATTAAAGAAACGACGCTTTTATAGTAAATGTACGTATTAAGACGTCGCGTTTATTAACATGCCAATATAGATTGAGGACATACATCTCATTTGTTTCTTTTAACCGTCTGTCTTGCGTTTGATCACAGGTAGTAACGTCGAAGAGAGCGGCTCTGCTGTTCGACCAGCTGATGGTAGCCCTACAGAAGGTCGTCGATCAGGGAAAAGGTTCAATCGACAGTCCCTTCGCCACCGACCCGGAGCCTGTACCCGTGATTCAGAAAGATCGTTCGGTATCAATCTTTAAGTAACCCTATTCGAAAGACGAGCAGCAGACTCTCGTATTTGGAACTATAGATCTGTTTTAAAAAAATGTCTAGTATACTAGTGCAATAAGAGTGCAATAAGAATGTAATAAGAGTGAAAGAAAGCATACTTCCCAGTAAACAAAGAACATTGGATCAACATCTTGAAATATTGATTTTACGCGCATTTCTTGAACATTTTCGTTTCATATTTTAAAATTATTTTAAAGATATTACCAAATATTATCCCTTTGAATATTGCAAAAATTTTTTAGAACTATTAAAATGTCGTTATTCGTAATAATGTTGATACAATGTTGATATATGTAGTTAAAAACTACATATTAGAAAATGCTACATGTTACTAAATATCATTGCAATAACGTTCTATCAATGGTTTTTTGCTTACTGGGTTGTTTTAATCTAACTTGTTGTACTAGTGTTCTTCGAAAACAAACAGACTTGCACCCAAGAACCACCAGTAATCGATTCTACGCGCGCGCATTCACGGTTTCTTCTTTTAGTATATTATAAAATTAGAAACAAACGCACCGCGTTATCCTTCGTAAATTAATATAAATTAATATATTGTTGATTGAATTAATTAATAAATTGATACGTTATTTTAATACTAGAACGCCCGGTGTAGACATTTTGACTCTTTCAAAGTTTTATTATTGTTATTATTTCTGTTTTTCTGTGATTTAGGAAAAATCTGTCGTGACTTTTCATTATTTCTAAAACAGAAAAAATAACGGAAGAGATTGATGATATTATGATATTATGATGAATTATTTTATGATTTTCCTTAGATATGCCAAAAGAGAGTTATTTCGAGTCTTTATTTAATTGTCAATGTTACAAAGACAATATATAAACTGTTGTACCTAAAATTTTAGTTTTTAATCCCATTTAAGCTCATATTTTACTCTGTGTCCATTCACCAGTCTTTTTATACTAATTATAGAGATTAAATAAGCAGAAGTTAAATAAGAGTTAAATAAGTAATAAAAAAATTATAATACATACTGTAGAAAATTATAAATTCGGGAAAATTATGAAAATTATAATTTGTTTAAATTATAATTTGTTATATATAAAATGTCTATATTTTGTAACTTATGTTTTAGCATTTCAAAAGACATTATTATGTATGTAAATCTTTATTGATTCCCAAATGGGGTTACAAAGTCTAACAATTACCGATTCTTCGCCACACTATCTACCTACACAGACACACCTCCGCAACCTAACTCTTCAAAAGACATTATTAATACGAATAATAAAGAACAGAAAGAATTTTACTATGTTAAAATCGTAAGAAATCAAAATTATTCTTTTAAGTATCCAAAAGTATCCAAAAGTATCCAAAAGTATCCAAAAAGGAGTTATTGTTCTTAAACATTCTAGTGATAAATATCTACTATTTTTTATAAAGCAATATAAATTAATACACTGTTATTTTAAGCATCAAGCAACACTTTTTTCACCGGCTAATTTTTATAAGTCAATATAAATTAATACATTGCTAACCAGCAATAATCAGTATAAGTCATTGTTTAAACACGAGATAACTCAATCTACAATATGTTAATTATACTCTTTCACATAAATGCGCGCGACGTTGTTTCTCTCTACTTCAACATTAAGATAAAATCGTTTTATTTGCGGCACGATACGAGAACTCGGTCGTGTTAGATGATTCCAGGTACGAGAATGCTGTGTCTACAACTTCGAAAGAAGTAATCCTCGATCGTGTGATTAGTAGCGCGTCTCTTCGCCACCGAAGTCGATTTTTAGAAAAGAATCGCACTGCCGACGTGCTACTGACTCGATTTATGTCGAGGATACTACTGCCACACCGCCGCATCTCTCAATCTTCTCACTTTCAGATGGATTTGCAACGACGCGGGCAGGGTAAAAGCCAGGTTTATTGGCGTTGCTATTTCAACGCGGTGACGTGCTTCAGGAGGAAGTGATAATAACCCAGCCGTCGTCAGTCTTCCTCGAGCCCGCAGACCAAAGGAGTGCCGCCGCCGTCTCGCATCATTTCCTTAACTTAGCTGCAGCAACGCGACGAGTTTGTAAAACGGTGCTTTCCCGGCTGAGAGTGTGTGAAAAGAACAAGTGTAAAAAATCAAGAATGTACACACACACATACACATACAGGACACAAATAGACACCATACACATACATTCGCACACACATATACATATATACACACATATACACACACTCGCTCACGCATTTACTCTTGCACACTTTGGAACGTCGGGTCAACGATTTTTCTTCCTCGCTCGTGCACCGAGTGGATACATTTACTCGTCTGTCTCCTTACGACTTCTATCGCCGTCCTGTTCTCTCTATTCGCAAATTACGCAAGTCGGGAATGAAAAAATTATTCACTTCTCTTTCTTTCTCTCTCTCTCTCTCTCTCTCTCTCTCTCTCTCTCTCTCTCTCTCTCTCTCTCTCTCTGTTTAGCTTATAACGTAAATACGGACGAAGGCATATTTTATTGAACAACTTTCTTCGAGTATATCTCTCGTAACCGAAACGAATAAAATGATTTTTGACATTTCCCGAATTATTATGTGTACTTACGTCTTTATGCACGTGCATTTACGCACTCATAAAGAGACTATGTTTAGACTGTGTCGGCCCTTGCATATGCATGTGTATGTACTCCACTTGTAACTATGTTTAAACACTCAGTACAGCCGCGGCCCTCCTCTCTACCTATCAGAATATAGTAGTTCGGTATAAAAACTAGGATTGCCACATTAAAGCAAAAAGGAGAAAAGAGAATATAGAGTTACGAAAAATATAAATTTAAGCACATTGAAAATATAGATCCTTTCTTCGCTCGATCGTTGTCCACTTCCTCTGGCCTCTCCTCTTCCAAAATTCCACCAACAACATATGTACATAAACCAAGCAATCATATACGAGGGTAAAAAATTCTCAGCCTAACACATAAGTGATGCTCTGAGTTTTAAATCAATTTTTGGAAAGTGCATTCTTTTACAAGGTTATTGTCAAATTTTCCGCCATTTTATTCTGTAGCGTACGCTTTTGGTGCGTTCGGAGAGCTCACTATTAGCACTATTAAACGCTACTGTGTCATTCTATCTTTGTTGTATTTCTAAGGAGCAATAAATGATCTGTTCTTTTTAACTGCACTGCTGAACACTGGTGCAATAAGTTAAAGTGAGACAAGTATATTTTTTCTCACTCTAACTTATTCCACCAGTTCAGCAGTGCAACTGAAAAGAATAGATCAAAAAATAGAAGAACGCGGTAGCGTTGGTAACGTGCTTCTCGAACGCACTCTTTATATACGTGTAAAGGTCGTTCTACATTGCAAGCCGATCGCAAGCAGACGCAATTCTTATTGCGACAGTCAATCAGAAGCATCAATGGTGCTATTGACGCTTCTGATTAACTATCACAACAAGAGTTGCAATCGACTTACAACTAATGTAGAACGCACCTTTACGCACGTTTTAAGTTGAGATATGATTCAAGCAGCGCGCGATGTTGCGTGCCGCCTGCACACTCAAATAGCTCTCGCAGCCAGCGCGATTTGCGACGCGACACGCGATATGCGATACGCGATATCCAATGAGCGTACAGCTTTTCCGGAATACCAATACGCTCATTGGATATCGCTCGTCGCATATCGTGTGTCGCGTTGCGCATCGCACTGGCTGCGAGAGCCATAAGGGTGCGTTCCTACTTAGCGCGTCACGCGTCGCGTCGTCCGAGTTAAGCCAATCAAATCGTCCTATTTTATTGCGTACTTTACTCCGAATAAAATGAGACGATTTGATTGGCTTAACTCAGACGACGCGACGCGTGACGCGCTCAGTGGAAACTCAGCCTTACACTCTCCCATATAGCCTGTGTAATAGCCGTATCACACTAGCGACTCGCGACTGCGGCTGCGGCTGCAATTATCTCTCTTGACCAATGAGAAAAGCGATAGTAACTAGCAGCTTCTCGCTGACTGGTCAAGAGACATAATCGCAGCCGTAACCGTGAGTCGCTAGTGTGATACGGCTATAAGACGTATCGTGATTCGTCGGCGTGTTCGGTAGTGCCCGGCTCTAGCCGAATGTCGCTCGTGTTCGTTCGACTCGCTAGCGAAGAACACTCTCGTGTTGTGAGCCTCCTGTAGTGCGATTCTGTAACTCGTTATTGCAGTTAACGATAATTTCGTTATCATTGCGCAGCTTTTTCGTACTGAAGAAAAGCTGCGCAACGGTAACAAAATTGTCGTTAACTGCAATAACGAGTTACAGAATCATACTACTGGGCCCTTATTCTTGAAATAGTTGCGTATATGTAAGTTTTACTGCACAGGTTTAATCATACCATAAAATAGCTGCGCAATGAAAATTACATATACACAAAAATTTCAAAAATAGGGGTCCAGGTCACAGTCAGTCGGCTATATTTGCGAGCTATTGCATGTGACAAAGGGCGTTCAACCCGTAAAAAAGGCATTTTTCGTTTTGTAACCACGGTAGCGTTTGGTTGGTTAGTTTGGTTCACTTAACGCTCGCAACGCCACAAGCATCATTGGCCGATATTCATAGTCGGGTCTTATTTTATTTTTAATAGCGTGTTCGACTGACCCTGGGTTAATCGCTCCGAGAGCGATTAATGACATCATAAATCTCTACTAGCCAATCATAAAGCTTATAAATAATTGTTCGACCAATAAACGTAGGCTGAATAATCCAGAGTGGGTTAACCCAGTTGAACATGCTATAAAGCGTCTTCTACAATGGCAGTAGGAGTAGTAGTAAGAAATAAGCAGTAAGCAAATTGACCAATTCCATTCTCATGTTTCAAAAATAATCGATTGTGATTAGTCTATTTACTTACTGCTTATTTCTTACTACTACTCCTACTGCCATTGTAGAAGACGCTTAAGAGTGGCTTAAGTTTATCTTCAGGTAATCCGTAGCCAATGAAATGATCCTTAAATCATCTAAAGATTGAAACTTAAAGGGACGTCTTGGAAGTAAGCAGTAAGAAGTAAGAAGTAAGAATAAGAAATTGACCGATCATAGTTGATTATTCTTCTCACATTCGGCTATGGTTGGTCAATTTCTTACTCTTACTTCCTACTTACTTCCAATGTAGACGTCCCTTAAGACATAGTCGATTATTATAAAAATAATCGTTTATGATTGGTTAATTCTTACGACTTACTTCTTACTCCAAGCTTACTCCGCATATTGTAGACGACGCTTAAGAATTGGCCAATCGTAGTCGATTATTATAAAAATAATCGTCTATGATTGGTTAATTCTTACGGCTTACTTCTTACTCCAAGCTTACTCCGCATATTGTAGACGACGCTTTACATTTATTAAAAAATGAGAAAAATAGAATATCATAATAAAATACTTCGTTTTGAAAGATTTTACACCAACAGAAATTAAAAATGAAATGGATTCAACACTTGGTAAAGCTGTTCCATCGTTTTTAACAATAAAAAATGCTGAATTTAAACGTGGTCAAACATCGATTCAAGATAATGAACGTTCTGGAAGACCAAAAACGGTAACAACTGATGACGTCATTGAAAAATCCACAATGCAGTTATGAATAATCATCAAATGAAAGATTCGTGAACTAGTTTGACATTGCAAAGATTTCAGATGAACGCGTACGATATTTTACATGAGTATTTGCATATGAAAAAGTTACAAGATGGATGCCGCGTTTGCTCACCGTTGACGTGAGCAAAACGTGAAAGAATGAATGTTTAAAAGCAATGGCTACATTCAGCAGAGAAAACTGCTTTGCAACTGTGTAAAATTCGTCAATCTGATTGGAGTATGCTCTTAATTTGAGTTGAATACAAGAGCATGTGACCAATCAGATTCACAAATTTTACACAGTTGCAAAGCAGCTTTCTCTGCTGAACACAGCCAATGTTTGCAACTGTGTGTGTTCCAGCGTCATTTCATAACTGTAGATAAAAAAAACATGGATCCACCATTATATAGAAACAAAACAACAGTCAAAGCAATGGATAGAAGCTGGTTCAAATGCACCAAAGAAGGTAAAGACCATTTCATCAGCTGGAAAAATGATGGCAACTGTTTTCTGGGATGCATATAGTATAATATTTATCGACTACCTAGAAAAAGGAAAAATCCTCACAGGAGAATATTATTCATTATTATTGGCCAGATTGAATAAAGAAATTAAGGAAAAACGACTATATTTGGTAAAGAAAAAAGTTCTCTTTCATCAAGACAATGTCCCAGTTCACAAAGCAGCAATTGCAATGGTTAAATTGTATGAATTGCGTTACAAATTGCTTCCACATCCACCGTATTCTCCAGATTTGGCACCTAGTGACTTTTTCTTGTTTCCAAACATGAAAAAATAGTTTGTGGGAAAGATTCACGTCAAATGAGGAAGTTATATCGGAAACTCATGCATATTTTGAAGACCTCGAGAAGTATTATACTGATAGTATTAAAAAACTTGAACATATCGTTGGACTAAATGTATTGAATTGCAAAGAGACTATGTTGAAAAATAAATATTAATTGCGTTTTCCTTGTCAGGCCGAGAACTTTTCACTGTACCCTCATATCTTTGCTATAACAGAAGATGAAGCACTGGCAGTTTGAAATAGAATAAGCTGTTTTGGGGTCAAGGTCTCAAGATTCAAGGTTTCTCAAGTTCGTAGGTTTCAAGATTACACCTACATGAATTCTTTACGTATTTTCTACATGATGTATATACAGCCGCTTTCATGTAAATAATGTAAATTATATAGAATATTTCCATTAAGAAATGACTTACCGATAGACGTCGAAAAAACGTCGAATCGACGTCGATTTGACGATTTCGACGTCGATCGATAAGTCATTTCTCACTGAGTTGAACGTTATATTAAAATATGCAAAAAAATATTTAATAAAATTAAATTTAATTAAATTATGACAGTTGCTCTTATAGAAATATCATACTAAGAATCATTGATAATTACTTATTATCCAGTATTTTTAATACTGAAAATAAGTAATTATCAATGATTCTTAGTATGATATTTCTATAAGGGTGCCACACATATTTATGTTTTGAGTATTGATTATAAATATATATAATGTTTAAAAAGATAATAAATCCTATAAAACTTTTATCCTATTATATGACCGACTGATAAGTCTAACTCTCTGTAGGTAAGAATATAACCAGAGGACTCTGTGACTCTAACTTGTTAAGGAACTAACATTTATAAATTCATATAAGGAATTTAAAGGTTAAATAAAAATGTAAACCTTTCTTATTAATTAATTGTTGAGCAAATCATACGTTCTTTAAATGACTTCCATAAATTATTCATTGTCTATATAGATGATATCTCACATATCATCAGTCAATTAAAAAACCCCCTAATTCTAATTTTTCACAAAATTGAGATATTTATTTATTTCCTCCAACTTGTCTCGATATTCTACATTGTTTGGAAAATTTTCTGTATAATTGGATTTTTATAAGTTAGGAAGTTTTTTAATTTGGCCGACGATATAGTTTACGTTGTTTATACGCAGATGTAGAATATCATAATTTATGCTTAAACGTCCAACTTCGTATTTGAAGCTATCTCTTTCTCATTTTAGTTTAGAATAATTGTTAAGAGTCACCATATTCCTTATAAAACTGTGCTAAATATATATATTACGAATATAGCGACTCTTAACAGTCGCACTAAGCTGAAGGAAGAAAGGAATAATTTCGAAACAGCTTTTCACTCTGTCTCAAACTGCCAAAGCAAACTTTACTTTGTGGAGAGAACATATGGTCTATGTAGTATATATCTGCTGTTGACTGTTAATACACATAGATATTAACAGTCGTATTAAAAGTCGTTATTTGAAACTTATTTCAAGTGAAAATTTCAGACTTGAATTTAGAATTAGATTGGTAATTTAATTTAGATTGAAAATTGAGGGTTTTTCAGTTAAATTACGATTACACAATAAATGTCATATATATTATAATTTAATCGATAAACTTGAATCCAACTCTGAAAATAAATAAAATCTAAATACAAGCCATATCCTACTGAAAAATTTCTGTTGAGATAACAATAGAATTCCCAATTCAATTCTCAGTTGAATTCTTGATTCATCGAGCTTTATTTTCTTATTCCGAAGGTACGAGACGGATTCGCGCGATCGAATGTTTCCGTGAACTTTCCGCATTATTGAATAGACTATCACATTTCCCGAAGAACCAAGCTATCAGTCACATTTCGGTGTAAGGCATGTAGACGTTTCTAAATAGCAAACGCTTCTGTTGAAGCGTTAGACAGATGAAGTAACGTTCTTCGTTAAGTATCAAGACAGTTGTGGAACAATTTGCGAAGCAATGGATCCATTTGATCGCTATTGTCGATGTGCCAACCGTAACGTGCCAATAATTAAGCTTAACGTGGTCTGCGTCGCGATATTCTAATCGCTTCCACAGTCGAGCTACTACCGGTGCACTATTATTAACACATTCCGCTTATTGATGTACCGTAGCGGCTAATCCGGGATTAACAACAGCATACGAGCTTCAAAGCGTGAATGCCCGATGAGGGACTCAACGATAATAGAGCCGCGCTATTAGCGTGCCCCTTTGTACGTGGCTGTAATAATACGTGAAGCAATCACAACGTCGAAGAAATTTTCATATTCGTGTTTTATTTCGCAGTTCTGATTCCCATTGGCGTCGTATATCCCTGAAAAAGTAGCATGAGTAATTCATTGAAAGCTCCTAATTACTACCTAGACAACAATATGTCTAAAATTGGGACGTCTTAAAGATCATCTTTAAGATGTCTTTTAGACGATTTACGTATAAATGTCTTTAAGGCGTCTTAAAGATTATCTTTAAGACGTCTTATGTCCCGATTTTAGACATTATGTTATCTGAGTACATACCTCTACAGCACAATCATCTGATTTGCTTGATCTGACTTAGTACATTAGAACATTCCAATTCATCTCTTCAGCAGAGACTTCTTCAGCAGAGGAATGACCTGAGACTCTCTTAAAACCTGAGTTTCAGATCGTTTCCTCTACTGAAGAAAAGATGAACTGAAATGTTTACTAAACGGCGAAAACAAAGTTATGAAGGATGTGGCACCAATTCGAAAGTATGGAAGTCTAAAATATCGAATTATCTGCTTTGTCTGTTTATCGTTTAGTGGCACATCTTGGTAGCGAGTTTATATTGCTTCTAAAACTAAGATTTTGGAAGAACTTTTACTCATACTGAAAGCGTCAAGCTCTAGTATTTATTTTATCACTCACCGAAGTAGATGTCACTGTTTTTCTTTCTAGATATATTATTCATATGAGTAAAAAAACTCTCATCCCTATCTTAATTGTATCGTAGATTATTGTTATCTTTTCAGAATTAAGGCATTCAGCATGAATAAAAATTACTCGCACTAGACTTTTTTAGAGTCAAATATGAAATACAGATATGCACAATTGTGGAGATGTCCTGCGAAAATCATAACGGGTGTGGCAACCCTAGTGTAAACTCAAGTCATATAAGTTTCTCAGGTCGTCTCTCAAGTTACGTTAATAACACTGCTCGAGAGAAGTCGCGTATTAATGTAAGTTAAAAGTTACTACACAGTCTCCTTGACTTTTGCGATCTTTCTATTTGAATGTTACATTCATCCGTTCTTTGATTGGTAAAGTCTGGAAATATGTAAAAGTTTGTTTGGACTACGTTCGTGTGAGATATATCGATGTTATCGAAATATATATCTATATTATTTTTATTATATTAAATGAAATATAAAGAATTATTCAAACACAGAGACCACAATTTGCTCACGCAAGAGTTCGCAACCACTTCATCGGTCATCTTCTCTCTTTTTCAAGAAGAGAAGCACGTGAGGTCATTTTTGTTACACGTATAATACCGGCGAGATATATCGGCAATTATATCCACAGACTTGAACACTGCGTACTAAACTGCGATCGCATACAATCAAAAAACCATGGGGAACGAGAACGAGTCGATGAAAAATGTTCTCTCTCTTACTCCGCTGGGTCTCCTTAGGATGTGTCTTCTTTTGATTTCATCGCCTGTGACAGCCTCTCAAGGCACAATATCAATTCACAGTGTTTAGTATGAGGGAACATGTCCACCGCGATGGCCTTTACCGGCACTAGGGGTTCACCGAGATATTGCCGCGAAGTAGGTCGCGCTAAGTCAACTAAATTTTTCATAGCGGCGCGTGGGTCGCATGATATGTACACCAATCTACTCAATTTTTTCGCCTTGCGTAGCGTCAATAATGCCTTTTGATCTAGAAAAAGAGAGAAGAAAACACAAGAGTCAACAAGCGAGTTAAGCTAACGTTTTTACAATATCGACGTTATAAAAAAAAAGAACTAAGAAATCCTATTACAACGACAACTCACGTAAGCCGGCTCGTGGCGGGTCCACGATAGCGATGATATTGGACTTCATCGCCCTTTGAATCATAGCCAATAAAATGTTTTCCGCTTTCCCGGTGAAAAATTCGCAATTTTTCACGTGGTTCTTAATCGCGTTCGCCTTTGCGTCCTTGACAGCGTCGGGGATCATTTCTATTCCCATCACCTCACCGCAATACTGCAACAAATGAATGAACGAGAGCGTCACGATATCCAGGGTCGAAATATCATAATGATAATCGAGATTGTACCTTTGAGAAGCAGAGTCCTATGGTCCCTGTGCCGCAACATACGTCGAGCACTGTCGTGTCCATTGTGGGTTCGGCGAGATCGATTGCCGCTTTGTACAACACTTCCGCCCCTAACGTGTTCACCTGGAAAAACGCCTGGGGCGAGACTCGAAATTTCATTCCGAGCAACGTCTCCTCGATGTACTCTGTGCCGCTTACGTGATACAGCGTGTCGCTACTTTCGCCGCCTAGACCTCTGCGAATTCACACATCACTCGGCTATAGGAACACACAGCGCAGAAAACTCTTCAACTTTCGATACACTTACTTCTTATCTACTGTTTGGAAATACAACGAAGTGACATGCGCGTCCTTGCCCTTTCCCACCTCGAAGAACGCTCGTAGCTGTGACTTCAACTTCTCCAACTCATCACCACTCAGATCCTGAGGATGTATTGCCACTATCAACATCAAATGATCGGCGCGAGTGGTGCGAGCGGTAACTTGCCTCCAGTATCCGCTGTGATCCACTGGATTGAAAGGCTCTAAGTCGGATTCACATATGAATGTTTCTAGTATCTGAAATATTCAAAATTTTTATATTCTAGAGGCCTTTGATATGTAGGTAGCTCAATAGACAGGTATATGACAGTTTAAATAAAAAGAAATAGGGATTATATATAATTATATATAAGTAATATACAGAGTTAATTATATACAGAGTTGGATAATAACTAGTTAATTAATCAAAAACTATAACGTTAAAAAATTAACTACTTTTAACTTAATTTGGTTAATTTTAAAAAGAGTCAATTTTTAACTTAAACTAATTACTTTTTAAGATGTACTAACTTTAACTTATTAACTTTTTTTATATAAGTTAAAATAACTTATCAATATTTAAATCATTGTAAGGTGCTAACAATATAGAAAAAGAAAAAATAATTAAAAATAAATTTTTTATCTCCCTGAGCACCAGTGTTCTTTTCTTCAGTATTCTGTATGGAATTCTAAGCACAAAACAATATTTTTTTTATCAGACTATATTTTCATTAACAATTCAAAAATTTAATCTTCAATTCAAACGTTAATTGCAAAAACATATATTATTTTGCATAATTAACTTTTAAATTTAATAAGTCCATTTAAGAAACATTAACTTTAAACTTGACTTAGTTTAAAAACAATTAACTTACCCAACTTTGATTATATTTGACCTATATATGCATTTTGTATAATTATATATATCCACACAGAAAAAATGATATTGAATAAAAAAAATGGTTTTATTCAATTAAATATCATAGACTATCACAAATATAAGTAGTTACTTTAATTGTTTTGTGTAGCAGTTATTTTTATGTGAACATATATAATCATGTATGATTATAGCCAAAAAATTAGCCATTAAAGATAAAATTCATATATAATTATATATAATTATTTTTTCTCAAAAGTTCTTTTATAGTTTTCAACGTCGCAAAATATCAATATTTAAAATTTACCTTTACAGCTGTCTTCATATTTTGAGGAATGTGACATAAGTCATCAATAGGTCCAACTGCAGTAGAACCAGAAGCATAACTTGACAATCTGAACCCTATCATGATTTTATGTTGCTCACTGTCTTTGCCTATAGAGTACAAAAAAAACATATTAAATAATTTTTAATTTTCCAAGTTAAATAATCATATATTTGTATTATAATTTCAGAATTAGTATTTCATAAATTTTGAAATTTTTCTTTACAATTTTGTGAAGCAATTATGTGAAAGATGACAGGAGATAATAGATCCAAATGGCACATATACATTGTTTCATAAAATTATAACAAAAATATAATAGTTTAATTTTACATGAAAAATCTGAAATTATTTATTACACTAAAATTATTTATGGTCTAATATAAATTGAATTTTACAAGATCTGAATGTCATTTAAAAAGCATAACAATATAGCAGGCATTACCAATTGTAAATTCGCACTTATTCCTATATGCTTCAGTGACATCAGCTGAGAGGATATTCTGGAGTTCACAAGGCAAACCATTGTACAATTTTCTTTGTGAATTCACCCAATCAGTCAGTCCTTTGCATTCTTTGAGCATTTGGTGGCTTATTTTCATTAAAATAGATGTCATTTCATTCTGCTTAAGTTTTAGCTAAATGAAAATAAATAGAAGCTTTTTCTTAAATAGATGTTTCTTAATACTTTCTAATGAGCATACTTTAAAATTCCTTACTTGATTCATATATGGTATGTTCCACAAAGGAGTTGTAGAAAATTTTATTCGCTCCATAGGAGAGCAATTTTTATCCTCTTCATCATTTTTCAAACGTTTGTCAGCTGTCTCTTCTTCTAGTTTTCTTTTAACAAAGGGATCTGGTGCTGGTTTTGCAATCTATTATGTGAAAAACAATTGTGATTACAAGAATATATAATTATGAATTAATTCTGTAGACAACTTTGGCAGAGAAACAAATACCTGTGCAACAAGCATACTATTTTTCCAAATAATCCCATTTATAGTATTTATTGCTCGTTGCCGACACTCTTCACTTCTGAAGCACACATACAACCAACCACTACCTTTCCGTGGTGGCTTCACCTTGCATGATTGTAAGTCGAGCTTTTCATTTAGGAGTTTCTTGAATTCGCCGATTCCATAATATTTAGGTAAACCGCGGATTTCTATCTTGTATTTCTCAGACGTGAAATCGTCCCTCTCGAGATATGCGTATGGATTCTTCTCGTTCTCCACAGCATTTGCTGCTAACGTTCCCGTAGCTTTCGTATTTGTGTCATCCATTGTATAAATTTATGTTCCTTATAATTATAAGGATATCATTGTAAGGATGATTATAATCTAATTAGATTAATTATGTTATTAAAATCTTGTATTTCTTCAGATAAATACACATATTGAGCATACTATTAAAAAACACATTGGACTTTTTTAAGTACTCCTTGTTTTTTATAATTAATCCTATTTATTTTAATAAACAATTATATTCATAATGCGGCTTACCCCGTATAATATTTATTGTTGTTATTCAAGTATTAAAAATTGAAAGCATTTGACGAACACCTGTAATTTTCCCGGCGAAATTGAAGATAGGTTAAGACCATGAAGTAATGGCTCTCGCAGCCAGCGCGATTTGCGACGCGATATGCGATGCGCGATATCCAATGAGCGTACAGCTTTTCCGGAATACCAATACGCTCATTGGATATCGCTCGTCGCATATCGTGTGTCGCGTCGCGCATTGCACTTGTTGCGAGAGCCATAAAGCTACGCTCGGAAACATCATTGGGCGCATTCAGTAGAAAAAGCGCTCAGTGAGCAATCAACGATTATTGGTTCTTGCTATTAGATCCCTAAATCTAGACCAATTACATTGACAAATTACTCAACTGTTGTGCAACTGTTGAGTCTGCTGAATGCAGCCATTCTCTCGTGTAAGAGTTTAACCGCCGGCACGGTAAGACGTGTCTGAACAAGTTCAGACTAGTGATTTTTGGAAGTTGCCTTGGAACCTGCCAAGACCTTATTCATTCATACCTCATATAAGGATTGGAGAATGGCGTATGGGGATAACCTTTTTCCCCGGAACCATTACAGAACAGAACAGATTCTCTCGTGTCTTTTCGTGATTTCAGGGTGCCATTACATGGGAGCGGTGCACATGGACACGGTGCATTTGGATACAGCCAATCACAGCACCGTGTGATTAGAGACATTTGTAGGGTCCCTTGGACGACTTGTGATTAGACTGTGTCCAGTTGCCCCGTGTCCAACTGATATACACCCCCATTACATAAGTTCGGGGAGCTCGCTATTAGCGCTATTCAGCGCTTCCGTGTCATTCTATCTTTGTTGTATATCTAATAGCATGTTCGATTGACTCTGGGTTAACCCACTCTGGGTTATTCAGCTTACGTTTATTGGTCAAAAAAGGACTTATAAGCTTTATGATTGGCTAGTAAAGACTTATGACGTCATTAATCGCTCTCGGAGCGATTAACCCAGGGCCAGTCAACACGCTATAAGGAATAATAAAGGTGGAAGAACGCGGTAGCGTTAGTAGCGTGTTCCCCGAACGCATCCATGAAGCGCGGAAACGCAGAAATGCAGAAGACAAAATCTTACTAGATTCGCTACGCGTTCTGCGCTTGCTTTGATTGCTAATGGGTGTTTACGTTAAATCAAGTACGAGTTAATTCCACTAGGGTCGAAAAATGTAATAGGCACAACCATCTAGTATCTTCATAGTTCAAGACAACTCAGTACTGGCTTGGTTTACATCGTGCATTTGATACGCGTACTATCTAGTGTCACGTCCTACCGACCAGGCTGACGGCCAGTAATATTTTTCTTTGTCCAAACAACCCTTTACCTGAGACACGTCAGGTACGAAACCTTCCTTCCCAGAAGGAAGGCATCTCAGATAGCGTCACTACCATGCAGGCCCCCTCCTAAAGGCGGGATAACAAGAGCTGAGAAAAGGAAAACAGCGGGCGGTCAGTCAGTCGTAGTCGAGTGCCGAAATCGGGAGCCCAAAAGTACTCCTCACCTCCAACCCCATTCTAACCCTTAGTTCTTCTAATTATTAAGTAACTAATTCTAAGTTATCTTTAACACTCCTAAATATTTACAAGTCGTTATTCTAACGTAAAATCCTTTAAGTTGTTAACCAATTACTTTAGCTGTTTTGTCTATTTTGTAACTCTAATTATACTTAGGATATTCGTAAGCATATTATACATCACGAATCACGTAATACACATATATATACATATACCACCTGTAGTAACTCTATTTTTACTCTCCCTCATGCGAACATCCTTACACGGCACATTTTCCCCTATGTCCAAACGGAATCGCGACACACAGTACTCCTCCCTAGTGCCCATCGGTTATTTACAAGTGACTCGAATATCCGAATTTGCCGCCGCACGATCCAGGACGAGGTTTCCCAGCGTCGGCAACACCTAGAGGTCTAGGAGGTGCTGAGCCACACGAGCCACGGGAGCGCCATCCAGAGACACAGAGAGCAACCGCTCTATGCATACTATCGGTAAGTCAGTATCTACATTATACGTGCGAAACCCCGACTAACGCCTGGGACCGGCCTACCGTAAGGTTACACTACGCGCCTTGCACGAAATCCATCGCGACTACCCTCGATCGCACGGATCCCCGGGTAGAATCACGCGATTCGTTTAGCCCGAAAATTGCGATCTGGTCCCGTGCTAGGGTTCGAACGCAATCCTTCGCAGCAGCGTGGCCGCAACCCGTCGGGACGTAACAATAGTAACTTTCTATTAAATAATCTTAATATTGACAAA